GGCTGTGTGTACTTAAATTCGTATAAGAATCGGAATGTGCTGGACATATGTAGGAGTGTGTCTATTCTTATATCTCGGAAATCACTCAAGCCTGCTCGGGTCGGATATCTCCCTGGTTTACCAACAAATAGCTCTGCGGGGTTCCAGCGGCCCCTAATGTCACGGCGCGGTGGTTCCGTATCAAATAAATATCGGACCAAGAGGAAATATTGCACTTTTTACAGAATTCAATTTCCGTCTCCGTATTATTTTTGTGTATTTTTCCTATGTTTATTGTGTTTTTATTTATCCAGCAGTGAGTATAAAGCTGTACGGTAAGCTGCTGGTCCATTTCGTGATAAACAATGTTATTTGTATCATAAAAACACCGTTTCATGTTACACCAACAACGTTATTTGTTATTCTCAGTTTTCTTAAATCCTCTCAAGACGTAAACAATATCAATAGAATTGCGATTTTCAATCAAAAACTGAATGAAGACATCGGCACCCCGCGGCCGACGCGTGCCTCTAATGAAACTCAGCGGGCACTCTTTAACTGGCGACACTGGAATGAATACAGGTGCTTATAAAAATGATTTGAGGGAATAATCATATTTTATTTACGCAGAGCATTATATTTTATATTATTTTATGTAATTGCTGTGCAGTTAACCGCGGATGGGATGACACACGACTCGAGAAATAACAATATGATTCTTGTAAAGGAAATAATTACAGACGCTATAATAATAATTTACGCGGCGTTTACGACTAATTTATTAATAGAATTTTCGCGAGTAAACCTTAGGAGCATCATAAACATGTAACCACAGCATGGCCAATGGTCGATCGTAAAATTTGTTTCATCCCAGCGATTGGCTGTTCTCAAACCAATGCTCAGCTCCATTCGATTTGAAACTGACGGTTTACGAGTCGCAGGCGGCGTCTTTTCTATGTTTTGGCGCCAAAATTGTTGAATTTTGAGGTTTGAGGTTGCGTTTTACGACAACACAACGAAATTAATGTTTAAAATCAAGCGCTGGGACGCTCGTTATCAGATGAATAAAAAAATTAATTGCTTTCAGATAGCCCATTAAAAGTTTGTTTTTTTAGCGTATACATTTACAAAGATTAGTTCAACTTTTGTGCTGTCTATTAAAGATAACGAAATTATATTACTATCATAAGTTTCAGATATTAATTTAAATATTATGCAGTGACATACGTAATATTTTCATGTACCCAAGTATAAGGACATTTTTATATATGACTAATAAGTAAATAAATAAGGAAATGAATTTCACTAATCTTAGCCAAGATAATAAAACTTATTTCTTACTTTATATAATCTTCTTAACAGTTAACTCTTGTAGGACATCAGATGAGGCATGAAAGACTATATTTGTTGTCATTCCTGTAGCAGTTGGTTTTTAGCAGTACTTTTATTTGTATTCATCAAATCTTACTTGCATCTTTATTTCATAATATTATCTAGGTTTCAGTTACCAAGTGATCTTATCCATATCTTCAGGCAGTTCTCATTGATGGAATCAGTTTTAGTTAGTGATGTAGTTTACATAATTCCCCAAGGATATTTCTCTGCTATGTATAGACAGATTTCTCTCTTGTCACCTTGTCAATTCCAAATGAGCCGAGTTTTACTCAGATATGATGAAACATTGCTTTCAGCACCACACATAAAAAAATCATTTCTTGTAAAACTGCACGTTACAGTAAATTGGTCACTAGAAGGCATTTTTCAATGATTGTATATTTATTTTGTTTAATATCTTAATATACTCTCAGTTGCTAATTACCTATATTATATTAATATTTGTGTTATCCTATATACCGTTAATTACATTGACCATCAATACATGACCCCTATACACTTAGGATACATTTTGTTGGTAATTACTGATTGATTACCTACATATCATTAATTTGGTTTATCCCTTCTATCCAAAGTCTATGTTAGTATGAAGTTTTTTTGTTTTAACCTCTTTGGTTTAAAAAAATTAAAAAACTTTTTAAGAAAGCACAAAATTGAAATCAATAATAAAAGAATATTGTGCAGATACCTAATATGAAAAAAAATAATAATATTTAATTATATTGGAATTTATTTATACTATGGCATTTTAGCATTTTAATTATGGCATTTAGTTATGTACATAATTATTTTACATAGTACATACTTAATATTGATAGATGCATTTGGGCTTTGGCAATTCCTATCGTTATATCTTCTAAGTGTTAATATAGAGAATACATTTTAGAACTGAACTCATCTATTGTGCATAACTTTTTGTGCATGTGCAATATACTAAGAATAGAATAAATTTTATTAATAAGTCAATTCACAGATATATTAAAATGGTCTTTCCTACAACCTCAAAAATATTTTAATAATGATCAACAATAACAGAATTAACTGAATAATAATTGTATAAAAGCGGTCACAATAAGTGTTTTTTCTCAGCACATTATTCGTTTGGTCCTGAGACGTGCATGTCCCTTGTATTATGTATGGGGTAGATCCTGTCCCTAGCTGGTAATCCACATTGTAGCGTCTGATGCCGGGACGAATCCGTGACGAATTGCGATATCCCGGCGAAATCTCTTTGTCCCCTTATTTTATTATATTTCTCTATGCCCCAATGTAGCTTGCATTATTCATGGCAACACTTAAATATGGCGTTGATGATGTAAAAAATATAAGTTAAAAATATGTCAAAAATGTAATAATCTTAAGCCAATCATCCGAAGGTTAGGGCAACCTCAAATTATCCTGAAGTTGATGACGTCACCCGCTGTCTTTCAATTGACATCCATCAAACGTCAACGACAGACTACAAAAAAAACATTCAGCCATTGAAAGCGTTGTAAGGAAACTCTTTGGGATTTTGCGAGTGTTATTTTATGTTTAAAAATTATTTATAGTATACTCTCTATATATTTAAAACCTTTCTTTAGTTATATCAATTAGATAACTAAGATTTCTATGTTTGAAGGAAGTAACAATAGATTTAGTGCATCTACGCTAAACGTTGAGCTAAATCATACTTATAATGCTGATTGAACTAATTTTCTTTATTTCCTAACTTTAAAAGCCTTAATTCTATGTTCATAAGGTCGTAAATCTCCTCAAATCCAAGTGTTCCGTGGGTCGTAGTCAGTAAGCGTGGCCCGTCCTCGCTAAAGATTATCGCGGGGGGTGCTGTAAAGAAACAATTTTCCGGCATCCCGCGGGGCTGCGCTTTATGGAATACAGCGACATGATAAAAATACCATATTTTTTTTCCCTCAAATATTCCCTTTTTATTACAACCGTCGTTTTCACCTTTGAAATGTTTAACAAGTTTATTTCTGTAATGTTTTACCAGCGTCTGTTATCGAGCCTCCTTCGTCTTTATGGAATGATCGTTCGATATATATTTATGAGTGCTTATGATTATAAAATAAACTTCAATTTATTTCAAACAGAACATTTTATTGTAATCCGTTCAGAAAAATAATAATAATAATATAAAATTAAATCACATTGACATACAAGATGGACGTACACCAAATAGCATATTAATTACACATTTATGTTAGAATTACGCAAAATTAAGTTACAACATAAAGACCTAACGCAAACGGACAGACGGTCCTGATATACAATAATATGTTAAGAGAAAAACTCATATACAGACACACATCCGTCGAGGTCGGCTGAATGTTTTAAATTATGGCTTCCATGTTAACAATGACAGAAATAATATATAACATAAACAAAACAATTCAGTCTCAACGCCAAAACATACCTTAAACATCGACAAACAAACATCAAAATAACCGGGTTTAATATGAATCGATTATGATAACGATGTATATACATCGCCCGGACTGTCCACAACATAAACAACAATCTATAAGAAGATTAGCTCTAAAACAATGCTGTGCCAGTTATCCAAAATATTTTGATAGCGGTGTACAAAAACCATAGCTAGTATACCGACTGTCACGCGAGAGTGTCACTCACAACAACGTCGCTAGTGTAGAGAAGCGTCTAATTATCTATCAATAACTCACATTCATATAATATTAACGACTTCTAGGACCCTCGCACTCCAAGCGCCGGTCAACACCGCGCTTGGAGTGCGAGGGTCATGAACCATCTTAAATTACACCTAGCGTATACATAATACGTATTTTCTTTATGCTAACTAAGTTTATTCTGTGCTCATGTTAGTTAGACATCTGCTTTATCAACTAATCACGTATATACTGTTACTAGCCGAAATATTAAACTAGCATCTACCACCGAAACATATGACAATAATTTAAAAATCTTAAGTATCTTATCTCACTTAGGCAAGTTAAAGTTGTGTTTTTACGTATACTTCGTTTCCAAATAGTTATCCGAATAACCTAAATAATAAAAGCTCGGGATCGAGAGAATCGCAGCTTTATATTAATTCCAATACTCCATAGAGCCGAGCGGCTGTGTCGGGAGCACTCAACACGCCGTGCTGTGTCCCGTCACTATGCCTTACTCGTTATTAGTATACACATATTACAATCAACGTTATACGTAATTTTTAATCGTATACATAACTCCGGCGCAAAATAATATTTCGAACATCGGCGCATAATGTTCACAGTAAGTTAGTATTCTGTTCGCACCCGTTTCACCCCTCACTGTATATCATGTTATGAATCAAAGCTTTTATCAAGGAATAGACTTTAAAAAGGTACAGTGCTAAGAGGTTGGCCAATTGCAAAAACGAAGATTTGATCTAATTACTTAAACTAAGCCATCCCGGGGCTTGCGAGAGTGTATCTCGGAAGCACCGGGTAGGTTACAAAGCTAGGGAGGCGGGATATAAACTAAAATGCGAGCACCCCCTGAAAGACTTCGTTTTTGCAATGGCCAGACTAAGAGCAGGGGTGCACGAGATAGCTCGTGGTCGAATTGGGTGCTAGCTGGGGATCGCGCCTCTGAATCAGGTGTTTGCTATAGGGGGTACTCACGACGTCGGGGGTGGAGGCTCCGTCGTGGCTGCTGTCCGGGGCGGAGCGCTCGCCGTTGTCGGGCGGCCGCGTCTCCCGCTCGTCGATGACCAGGTCGATGGGCATCTTGCCCTTCAGACAGCTGATGTAGCGGTGGCAGAAGTTGTCGCATAACTCGTGCACCTGGGAACATACACCACACGATGACGTCTCAGACAACTCATTATGAGGTACAGCGCTAATTGCGATCACAATTCTATAGCTGTCATAACGACGGCCATGTTTTTATAGCGTTTTACGTAACACATATTCCAGTTCCCAGTGATCGTAAGTTTGATTAGTTTTGATTTATTCTTCCATCAATGACATGGTCCCGCATTAACATACACGCGGTTGATGAATGAAACCAGTCCGTCGATTCTTTACCTTTAATTATTTATCACCTGTTAAAACATAAAATTAGAATAGCTTTCGTATTTATTGACGACTTTCGAACTGCTCATACGACTTGCCGAGCGCCGTTCTCTTTATGAATTATTCCATAATAACATTTATTAAGTACTGTATAATGATTACAGTATTATAAACATAAAACTATAATTTCTGAAGGCACTAACAGTTATTATAATCGACTTTCATTCAGTCAGAGTTATACGAAAGCTTTTCTATAATAAAAACACGCCGTAGACCTTTGAACTAATGTCATTTAAAAAAGAAACAAAGGCAATACATTTCGAACGCGGACCAACTGACGTTTGACGCACCTGTAAAAACTCAAAACATCGTAAAAACGACAAAACTTATTATAAAAAGGTAAATACATTTTTTTTTCCTTTATTCCGTACGCTCAATAAAATACGACCCCCGGCGGGCGAGTATTAATTTTGTTCGAGGCCTTATAAATTTTCATAGGCATAATTAACTTAGAAATTAACATAAGACAATAAAAAATGCTAACGAAATTTTTAGACAGCGTTTACAGTGTGAGAAGCAATAAACTGGCAGGTGACGGTTCACGTTCAGAGTCGATATCTGGATGGTCTTAGCGGATTTGAAAAAAAGAAGCTCAGTTGACTTCAAAATAGAATTGAAACGGAAACGGCGACACGTTGACAGATCATTATGTTTTAGGACTGTAATTTCCTTATCGACAAGTTTTTATGGACGCTACAGATGTGTACAAACAAGAATATCCTTTTATATCTAACTTTATAACAATATATCTATATTTATATAAATATACAACAGATATGATATCTCATTAGTTTTATTTATAATCCCACAACCATTCATATATCGTTTCCACCATTTTTATTCTCCTTTCCCGCCTCTTATAATTTGACAGTGGAGAGTTTAGTAACAGGATAATCCTTTATAATAAACTTAATTCACATAATACGCCGTCATTGTGATGCACGATCTATTCTCGAAGCGGAGAAAGCGACAAAGATGACATCGTAACTCTCCGAATATCCAAATTTGGGATTGCAGCATCATCGCTGTCTAAACGCAGTAACCACCCAACCTTATATCCAAATATAATCTCTATAGACGCCATCAAAGCATTAAAATCCAACGCCACTTACAGCCGATACGATTATTTAAGTAAACTGTTGATGTCTTTAATGAGATATTACGGCATTCCGGACCGGCTCCGGCGAGATTATCTTCGACATCACAAAACTCTTTCCAGAAATATAAATCTGGTGCCCGCGTTCGGATACAGACTGTTTCTGAACCGAACTTTTATTTATTTTTAATCTGTAACGCGACACGTATGACAGTTCGTAGAAAATCAAGACTTATAACGGCTAGGATCTGTTTGTTAATTATCAATACTGCTTTTTTGACATTGAGGTATACTTTAATATAAATGTATCAAGCTGTGGTATTTTTAAAGATTTTTAAAGAGGGCTCCGGTCCAAAGTGCCAAAGGCGTGGGCCGAATAAAACCAGCTCCGATGTATGCCACGGTCGTTTTGTGATTAAAGGGTGTTCCTTTATATTCGGTCTCTCTTCACACTTATATACAAGTCACCTGACTACATACGACTATATAACTATTAATGTTTATATAATATTTAGTATTTTAAATATATAATTGAACAGCTGATCCATGAGCCAGCTCCACAGATGCAAAAACTATTATCGACATCAGTGACGGGGGACGATCGAAATCTTTCTTTTTATATATTTTTAATTCAAATAAAAAAACAAGAACCGGTCATTCGTATGAGAGTCGATTGGTTCGCACCAAACTTCATTTTTGAATTATTATTTTTTTTCTTCATCGATTTTATATTTCACCTCATTTTATAAAAACATGGGAATTAAATTCATCCTATTAATAAAGTTAAAAGGTAAAAATCTGATTAATTAAAAACAACCAACTATTAACAGCAGTTGGGGCAATCAAAGAAAAAAAACTCATGTCACACTATACAGTTAATGTTCGTAGGCTGTTAAAGTTATAAAGCCGTGTCGTAAAACCGAGGGTCCCAGGTTCGAGTCGAGTCGCTAAACTAACAAATCTGACCTACATCGTAAATCACTTAGCCACGCCGTTACAGATAACGTTTATGACTTAGAAACAAAATATTAAACAATCCTATACGTTTATTGGCGAATAAAAGTTAACTAAAAATGTTTAATTCACAATACACGAGGGCCGGGCCGGGCTATGTTGAGCGATTATCATAATGAGGCGTGCTGGCTAAGTAGAGAACCGTGTTGTCTTGGCCCTGTACGTCTGTACGTCCCTACCACATAACGTAATTAGGGTACATTCCGAATAAGAAGACCAAAAAAAATAATAAAACCTTCCACCAATCAGATGATCGGACCAAACATCCCGTGATTCGTATTTCGAGCCGATGTGACCGCCAGCGGCCATCTTTGAAAAAAATATGAACAAACATAAATCAAAAACGTTATTGGATATTATAATATTGTTATACAGTTCGTAACTTCATGAATTTTAAGTGAGTTTTTCTCAATTTCGATATTGATTATTTCATTGTTCGTGAACGCCATTAAGGGTATCATCGTCGCTTGTTATGTTTCATTATTCCGTATATCATTGTTGTAACAGATTCCTCGCCGTCACCTGTGTACGTATTGAGGCGGAAACGTATCCAGCTAACGGATTCATATATATATTTTTTATTGTATTTTATGTTTGTACAAAAAACTAGGAACGAGATAGAAGCCGACGTGTTCGTGCGAGCATAACAAAAAACAGCTTTTTAGATACACACGATCGTAGATACAGATAAATGTTATTTATCGTGCAACAGTTTAAATGAAGGTACCAATAAATCCACGACTGATTCCATTTTAATGGACTACGGGGGCATTTAAAACTTATCATTCACATTGCCCCGTGTTCTGTGCACACCGTTCTGTGCTATGTGCTCTGTGCTGGTTCTGTGTTGTGTCCGTACGGCCGGCGGCAGTGCTCAATGTTTAGGACGTCTTATTTTTATTATTTCAATCGTTCTTTATATCTCCCTCCGGCCAGTCAAGACGTATCACATTTCATGCTATCTCGTTACACCTCTTTGTTCCCGTTCGACCAGATCCACCTCGTAGGTCCCAGTAACGCGGCGCCGTACCAAAATCTATTGCCGGAATACTGTTACCAGTTTCGAGTTTCTACAGACGAGTTTAGGAACGTGACCATCGCGTCGGATTAATCGGACTCTGGGATTCGATGTCTAATTAATGTAAGCGTGAATCGGTTTTGATTGCCGATGGCAAAAACTTAGCCGATTTACCGTTAGCCGTTGGATGGTATAATGACGCGGAGCGATGCGACACGCGCAAGAAATCGGACCGGTCTCGGAGTGAACGAGCCGAAATGGGAGATAAGGGGAAAATAAACACACGAAAAAGTTACCAAGACCGAACTACTTACTACCATTGGGACGACTCTGAATACTTCAGAAACCAACTCTAAATCGAACGTAATTAAATGACAAACTCTTTATATATAACTATGTGTGATTATAATCTTTTATCTCGATCCAAAATCTTCAACCGAGTCGGTAAATCGTAACGATTTAAACTGACAGCGTCATATAATATCATCGCTTGGTCCGCGGATTCGAAATGTACAAATATAATATAAAAAATACTTACTTTTTCTAATTCTAACAGGTGAAACCGTAAGACCTGTATCGCTTGCACCATCTGTAAATAAAAGAGTACACTTTAGTATATGTAAATATAGCACAGCTTCGGTACAGAGTCAATCAGACAATGGCGAGTGAGCAACAAAGGCATAAAGGCTATCGATGTCCCGCTGCGTCGAGATATACCAATCTATATTACGACTATAACGAGGCTACATGATACCTACATACCTAGTTCTTAATATGCGCTATAAAGTCTAATGTACACAGATATTTCATGAGATAATTATCTAGTATCGCGGATCTAATCTCGTAGTTTTAAACTCATATCTTAAACGGGTTGAGTTTTATTAATTAGTGACGTCATTCCTATCTTATTATGACATTTTGATGTAGTTTTTTTGATTGATGCTTTGTATAGTATGTCAGAAATAAAACGGTGCAATCTATAAATTAAGGATTTACGTGACTTCCAAATAAATATGTTTTTTTTTAATAATCCTATTAATTTTAATTCAAGTGTTTAAATAATTAATAATCCTCATCTAACTGGGTGCCATAAGAGTAGTGTCAATTAAAGCGCCACCCCCGTTCGTTTGCACAGACGCCTGACAAATGCACAGATAAAAATATGTTGACATTACTGTAGAGACGAATATTGTGTGATCTATATGTTCTATGACATAAGGGTGGTTTTGCCTCGACCCAGATGGTGTTTGAGAAACGCTCAACAAACATTATAAAGGGTCTAAATGTTTGTAATACAAGCCACTCAAACATGCTACCGTCTGAAGACATTGGACTTAAAAATATTTAATATATTATGAATCAAAAGAAAATAAAATACCTAACCATAAGTGCGTACTACTGTTATGTAACTGTGTTATGAAAATAATTTAATGGTAGCTTATATTACCGAAGAGTAAACTTCGTTTGTTTGTCAACCGGTTATTAGAAGATGAATTGTTTACTGATGTAAAGGACACTCAACGGAGGCTGCCAGCGAGATAACAGACACGAGATGAAGCAAACATTGACGTTCAAAATATTAGGAAGTCAATAGTACGAGAGAAATTAGTGCTGACTTAAACTATACACAAAAAATACTAATAAGCTATCCGAACTTAACTTGTAATCGTTACATACATAATAATGATTCGCATACAGAATGTACCTTCGCTATTTCCCAATTAACTCATTGTAAGGTAATTTACAAAAGGCTGTAAACCGCACACACAACGAGAGCCGCACTGACAATCGAATAAAGCCAAATGACTCTTATTACCTATCGACACATTGCGAACGAGCCGCGTTAACAATGCCCTTATAGGATAAAGTGCAAACAGCCAAAAATAACAGCTTGAGGCGAACAAAAAACACTTACTTTTTGACTTTTACAGTTTTTTAACTTCATACTTATTCGGTTTTTGATTTCATTTCGACGAGATTCGATGTCACATACAAAATATAGAGAGAGTAACGAATGTATATTTTTGATAATTTTATGAATTTTCCGTTACTTTATTTCGGTTTTTCCTCGCAATATCTGGGTACTTTAAACTTTGACGTTGGATATACTTAAAATGATAGTACAACAGATTAACATCTCAGAGACTTCAGAAAGTCAAGAATAAATATATCAACAATATCTAACTAGAAGTATTAAAGTTATTTTTGTGTAATATAAAGAAATATGACGAAACTTTAGTTTATATGAATGTCAAGTGTCGTTACAATAACATACGCGGCCAATTATATGGTGAATAGGATTCAAAGCATACATTCAACCTAACTTGAATAGAGCTCCGAAAATAACTCCAGGCGTTATATGAGACATGAAATTAAAGTAGGTTCTATTTCATTTATTAAATAAACATTTATAATGTAAGTCATAATTAAGCCTTTTTATTTTTTGTCCCGACATAGTCACCAGCGTAGAAATAATGGGTAGAAATATAAATTTACCCCATTTTAAGTTATTTAGTTTGCACAGGGCCGGATGCGGCTGTTTGGTCTTCTTATCTGCAGGCTTCAATGACTCTTATCAGGTCTCGAGATGCTTTATAACTCTACGCCTCGCTACTGTTTCAACGTACGAACCAAAGATTTATGTTCCTCGGGATAACTGGTTATTATAGCTCGTTTTTTTGATACCCCTCATATTATCCAACGTTTCTGACTCACACCAATGTAGGAACACAGGGCTGGAGGTAACGCTGACTCCGAAGGAATGCCTGCCTCGTTCATTATTGGCCCTAGCCTAGTATTTTATGAACCAATTTACAAACACAGCGAACATTGTACGCTCCGCTTGAGCAATTCGTGATGCCTTAGATTTTATTTGTTAAAAATCTGTTAAGTATCCGTGTCGAACTCTTGCGGTGGGTGGCCGCCATATTTTTATTTCGCTTTTTGTCCGCGCTAGCCACGGGGGATTGTGCGATTCAGAATTTTATGAGTGACAATATATATATTGATATATTTTTTTAATCCCCGTCATTCTTTTATTTGGTCGTTCCGAGAACCTTGTATACCTGAGGTTAATTTTAGACAGCTCTTTAACTAATCAAATCGTAAATTACTCGGTCGCCGGAGACGTGAACTATAAAATGTTCACTACTTTATGGGATATTAAACTGGAGTCATTTATTTATGTTTGGGGTAAGAGGGACATCATAAAATGGCGGGATACTTACTAAAGAGTCAACCTCTGGGTCCGCAATGTAATATGGTTTTTCTTGGCGTATCTGTGAACAGAAAACATATATGAATTAACTAATTAGTTTCAAAAGACGCTTCCACGGAGGATCCATCAAAATTAATGAGCCAAATAAAACCGAATTCACGGCAGACAATGAATATGTAAATAACACATTTGTGCCAAAACTCTGTTATAAATTTCAAGTCAAGTGGCCTTTGTGGAAATAGAGCTCCATCGTCGCCTAATAAAATTAAAAAGCGTATGAATTTATGCAAATATTGAAACGGTTAACATAGATTACCGGACGGAGTCGGGTCGTAACGCCAGGCTAATAAAACGCGCGCTCCGCTGCGCACGCGCAACCAAAGACTAAATGAAGGTAGAAACAAGATTTTATCGCGCCGTAACTAAGTGCGATGATTGCATTCCACAAATCACTACAAAAATGGGCTCGTGAAATACGACCCGATACGTTTATTAAACTCGAAGCAACTCTAATTACCTTCTTATCAACGACTCGAAGAGCTGTCGCGATAACCGTAAGAAATATTAAAAGTTAAGTGTACAACAAAAGATATTTAATATTGGACGGCCTCACTTATAATCTTTGATAGTATGAGAAGTTTTTTTAAGCCTGCCTTGACCGGAAATGCGATAGTATCACGCATCTATGCACCGTGCCCGGATTATAAATGGGTTTTCATTTTTATTAAAGCTTAGTGTACACAACACAAAAACAAGAATTAACGCCGACTGCCTTAAGTGGCCCTCGTGAGGTTCGGTTACAAAGTTTATAAGTCCTTCTAATGTAATCCTGTCTCTCGGTATTCTAATATATAATTAATAAAATTTATCTTAATTATTCAGAGACATCGATTGGAATAGATAAAATATTATATGATCTTAATTAAACTGATAAAGTTTATTTCTCGTAAGTTTAATGTACACGAGACAACCAACCACGGCGTTGTATCAAATCGAATTATAATTTGTCCTAGTGCCGATAACCAATCTTCTACAGAGACCCTCCTCCGGCCCGCGGCGAGGAAGTTCCTCATTTTTGGGACCAGCGAGCCGTGAATCCCCACTTTTGGACAATTAAATGCTAATAAGACCCACCATACATAGGCCTGTCCTATGTGCAAGTCGTATACGAGCCATTTCATTAAACGTCCAAGCCATTATTTCCCTTCATTAATAAGAAACAGTTTTTCGATTCATTCAATAAGCCGACATGCAATCTTAAAGGTCATCTGTATTGGAACATTAAATGCAAAATTACTTTTCCGTTCTGTTTTTATAAAGTGCATTAAACTTTTTTAGAATTCAAGCCTATTTACTAGAACATAAAAATTATGAACCAGGTGTTCAAATACAACTTAAAGTATGTAGGTACAGTGTACAGTTTTTTGTATTTTTTTCTTTACTTCTCATATCAAGTTTAAATAGTATCACTAACATTATTTTTATTATGAATCCTTGCGTAGAGTTTTATTGCTTAAATGTCATATATTTTAGTTGGCACAATAATAAACTATTAAGATTTTAAGAATAACTTTTGACTCGTCCCAAATATCATTGTCAGTGTCTGTCATCCCGGCTCGTCTACCTGAGCTCTATTGTGGCCATCCTTTGTGCACTTTCAGGCGAAATACAGCATTGTCTGTGTAATTGAATAAATGCCTTCATGTAGAGCCCATTGTTCGAGCAAGTTAAGGACTCGGGGTTACATCCTGACGGGGATTGTCATAAACGAATATTTTAAGGACACCTCTCTATAACGTTTTCTGTCCCAAAATACAGGACTACCTGTCTAAATTAAAAGTACGGAACCCGTCATTAAATTTGTGCTCGAAGGAGTTTTAATCGAAGGCTATGGAATGTGGAAATTGTATGACCGATTAATATTAGACTCTATTTTATTCAGTTTACAGTCCATAATGTAATGGATGTCCAACCGGTAGTTATTGCCCGATATATCGGGGGTCGCATCGAAATCGCTACCAAACGCGGTACCCTGTAATTTTAATAAAAAATCTATTTATAAGATAAAATAAGTCTGAGGCTACCTAAGATGCCGGCCGGGCGTTCGTCAGTTTTCATAAATCAAACGTCGCGAGCGATTTTGACGCTTGTCACAGATGATCATATGATACAGTTTCGCGCTGCAACTGTCCCAATACTTAATTATCGTATAATGCGTAAAAGCTTGAATTTTGTAATTTAGTTAGGTCGCCTCCTATTTTTTAACTTTTTATGATCCCGAGCGGGCAGGTGATTTAGTTTTTTTATATTGGTTGTTAGTCGAATATTTGATCTAAAAAATGAGTTTAAAAAGTTCCACGGCTACTGTGGTAGTTACACCAAATTACAGAGTACAGTGTATTGACGCGTGCGTCGGTCACGTGTCCGCGTCGTATGCTCTGACGTGACGTCACGGCGTCACCTCATCAGCTCCGACGTGCGAATTTATTTACTTCAACCGCTTTACAGCAGCCATAAAGGGATGTAATGTACAAACGCCTTTATGGTACACTTGTAAATGTCAGATATCACTCATCTCTCTCCGGGTTCGGACACAAAAAAATGCCATAAATATTTCTTAACCAAACGACTCCTACTGAATATTGTAGCAATAAAGCCAGCTCTATAAAATGAGCTTCGGTTGTTTAAGTTTTGTTCGAGTCCGGGCTGGAATTAAAAGAACTCGGACGTGGGATGGAACGGGACCTTTTGTTTGCTTAACCCTCGTGTCGTCTGCTGCCATAAATATGTAAATTATAGAAAACTATTCATAGCTAACAGGAATTCATTAATATTTTACTGTTGCCCGTTTATTTGGGTGTCGTTCAAAATATGCAATGCAGACATTGGAAACTCGTTTGGCCCACATACGAGTGGCCCGAGCCGTTTGATCCCAATTTCATATCATCTCGTAGACGTTCCGACGTTGAGAATCTCGAACTATTCTCGTTTCTTAAATATTAGAAACACATGGTGAGCCGTTGCTTAATATGTAGCACATATCTCTGTATGTTACTCAGCATCAGCTTGTTGAGCGTCATCTCCATTAGAGCGGGACGTAATGAACGGAGAGAGAGAGAGACGAACATAATGAAAGGAGAGTTTTTCTTGCGTTTTTTGCTTCGAAATCCGTGTGTTCTAAAATTTTATTTTTAATACAAGAAAAGTATTCAAAAGATACGAGTGCAGGTAGAGGATGGCCGGGACGGGGTGTTTGCTTAGTTTTTTTTTATTATCGCTCAGAGAATTCAAGTTGATTTATGGCCTTGGTCTGTGACGATCTGTGGCCCGTAATTTCTGATGTGATTTTTGTCACTAACGGACACCGAACGTCTGATTTATTAATTTATAAAAGTGGAGGCGTGATCCGGTTTTGACAGTTCCTCGGAACGTGTAATTTTGGTTCAACGAACATGTAATTATTTATGGCGATGATGTTTATATTCCTTACATGATTGTCCTCGTCCTTAACAACTGTTATTTGCCTTTAATTTTACAAGCCCCTCATCATCAGAGCTGAAGAAATGCGCCGTCGTATAACCGTGTCTTATAATCTTTTCAAATAAACTGTAATTTATCTTTTAGTAAACAGTGCAAATCACGTGTCTTCACACGGTAGCACTTTCAGCGCGTTAGTTGGCATTTAAGCGGTCCCTCGAGGGTCATTTTGACCCAGAAGGTCAGTTTTTCGGCCATTAACGCATTCAGAGGGTTGTGGAGGAATTAAACAGGGTTATAAAGGTAGTGCATAATGAGTCACTCCGGGGTAGTCGTGTAGAATACTGCAAGTAATAACAACCATTACTTGTCACTATTAACAACACTAGCGTTCAAATTCGGTTTATGACGTCGTTGGAATTTAGACGATTCGGATCTCCCTCCGCTGTTGTTATAGAAACTTACAAGATATTATATGATTGTTGTTTTTTTAACAAATGTTTTGAATTATTTGTTTGCAGAGCTAGAATCCATTTTTTGCGGCCGTTTCTATTTAAAACATCTATGAATACGAATGATGGATTAGAATTTTTTAAACGATACTCAGATACGGATTAATGCGTTACGAAAAGGCAGATGTTTTTTGTTATATATATATTATTGAATGAATATGAATCCACATTTAGGATTTCAATATTTTGCGTCTCAATTTAAACACGTTCCCGGAGTTTTCGGTATATAGTTGAACAGTAAAATGTGGTCATACAGTCAGAGATTCACACACCAATCGAAGCGTTAACCCTTGATATGTTCCCATGAGTGCACCGCTACGGAGCCAACAAACAAACAATGTATTCATAACAGTCCGTGTTTACAGCGAGCACTCGCGCACGCTCGATTTGAAAATAAACAAACCAAAGTGTTTTCGACGGTAGAATAAAAAATAATTTAAACAACACAAAAGTTCAACATAACTAACCAATGGCACAATGCTCCTTAACCCCGCGCCGCTGCATTTGTTTGTGTACGTCATGATGAATAAGTAAGCAGATTCTACCCTACCATTTTTTTTAATTTCCACACCACCCCTAAATCCCGCAGGGCCAAAAATTAAAGTGTAATGGTGCAATGTTTAATAACTTATCTGCGGGTGGAAATGTGTTTTGGCTTTTGTTAATATAATATTTTAAAACTCAATCAAAGGGTTCCAGAAATCTATGTGGGATTAGTTTATCTGGAGTTTGTTTGAGGATTATGATGTAGCATAATCGACTGATAAGCGGGAATGCTTTGGATTTTTTATATGAAATTGCCAAACTATCTAATTATTATGAAACTTTATGTAGTTCAAGGGAAACTTCAATATTATTCCTGAATTTGCTTGCAGAAGTGATATATGTATATCCGATAATATTCCTGATCTGATACATCAGCAAATTACAAGACTTCCCCATTAGGAGGCTACGCCCTAATCATGGGCATTGATGAAACAATCGAAGGAAGGGTTGTGAGTAATCTTGATTGATCAGCTACAAATAATGTTGGGTTTCCTGTGACGAATTGACCCCACTCCTCTGAGGGTTA